ACTAGCCCCACCCCCTGTGGAAACTCAGTTGTTGTCTATTTCACCCTGAGCTCTTTTGGTTAGCATGTGCTAATCAATCTCCAGGGAAGTCACTAACAAATCAAGTCCTACTTTATACTGTGTCTTCAAATTAGTTTTATTAAGCTGAGAGAAACATTATGTGCATCCCATATATTTATACATAGCCTTCTCTTAAAGGAAAAAAGAAAAACCAAGAATAAATTCATGAAAGCAGTCTTACATTAGAAGATGATAGAAAAATCCACTTCAGGGGGTGCCACAGTTTGGCTCTAGAGTGTTCCCTAAGTGTCTTGTGAATGCTTTGAAGTCAGACTGGGGCCATATTGGGAGAGAGGGGAACTTCTGAGTTGGACCTAGTGGAATGAAGTTAGGTCACTGGGTGCCATGTCCTTGAGGGAGCTACTAGGACGCTGGTCTTTTTCTATCTTTCTCCTACCACCCCACCACTGGCTGTCATGAGGAAAGAAGCTCTGCTCTACCATGTGCTCCTGCCATGATATCCTGCCTTACCACAGGCCCCTAAACAATGGAGACAACTGACTATGGACTGAAACTGTCAGCCCAAAACAAACCTTTCCTCCTTTTGATTATTTCAGATATGTTGTCACAGTGGTAGAAATACAACTAGCATGAGGAATTCTGTGTTCAGTCTCAGAAGCTAATTGATCACTAATTAACTGTGCCATGACAGAGAGTACTGGGTATCGTGGAGGCCTAGGTTCTGAGTTCCTCTGTGACTCAGAGGAATATCCATTCATCCATTCTCCTGTCCACACATCCAACCACTCACCTCTTTTAGGATAGGTCTTGTGCAGCTTGCTTAGGTGACACCTGAGAGTGTGGTGGTGATGGGGTGCCTGGGTAAAGGCAGCTTCAGTAATGAATGAGGACGATTCAAATGTGTATGTGGGGGAAGGTAACCCATGAACCTGAGAGAGAAGGACTAACCAGGCCCAGGATGGCCTTATGGGAACAGCAGAGTTGTCTGAACTCCATCCTGAAGAATGTGAAGCACAATGAAGGATGAACTCAGGTCCTTTCTCAAATTTGTACTGGAATTACTGACAGTAGAGACTTATTTCAATTAACCTTTTATTTTAGATACTGTGGTAAACATTTTATTTATATTTGCTTACTACTTTAAATATGTGTAAAAATTATTTTTGTTTCAGTCTATGTTTATTTGGCTTTACTACACTTTTTATTCAATAACCTTTATACTTCTGAGTGATTTATCTGTAAGTCACTTTTTCAGGAAGCTTTCATGGTTATTATAGCAAGTGTTATTAGAGCAGCTTGCTCACATTCCCTAGAAGAATCAAAGGATTGTTTTTCTGAAGCCAGTCCTCTGAGTGTAAAGCTCTCCTCATCATTTTGCCTGAGTTGCTTCATAGCCCCAGGAAGTGTGGGTCACAGCCAGAGAAGGCTAGGTGTGTCCAAGTGTTAAAGAACTTGGATCCATTCTTCTCCATGATGAGTGATAGGAGTTGGCGGATAAATTCTCCAGCAGCTTCCTCACCCACCCTGAGGTAATGATTCTGAGGTGTGTGACAATCAGATTCTCAGAGGCTCTGCAGAAGACCAAGCCCAAGGTGCCTAGCACAGTAACATGCTCATCAATGCATATTTTTCTTTCTTTCCTCCCTTCTTGGTCTAAACTCCCCACTCCCACACAGTGCTTCCTGAGGCCACCCCTAAATAAACCATGGGTACCTACATTATTGCACCAGGATCTGTTTTTGGGGGAAGCCAGACTAGGACCATCAATAGAGTATGAACTACATATCTGAAAATATCTTTATTTTGACTTCACAGTGGAGGGCAAGTTGGCTGGGCTATAGAATGTTGAATTCAAAGTAGAATATATTGTTCTAATTTTTGACCTTAATATATAGAACAGTTTCTAGAAAAGGGGTTTCCTTGTTCTGTGTCAAGTGTTACTAGTATAATTTTCATATCCTTAAAATTAAATTTCATAAAGATACATGGAAACATTCAGTGTTTTTAATAGTTTTGCCTGATATCTGCAGCACCTATTTAAGAAATGGAGATCTTTCTTTGATGTCCAAAGAGTAGTTTTTGCTCATGTCTTCTATTCTAGTATTTTCTAAACCATTTCCTCTTTGTTGATTCTCCAGTTCCTACCTTCCATATTATAGTCTTTACTGTCATTCTTTTTTATTAGTTTGTTCTTTTTCTCTGAATTCTCACGGATCTTCTGAAATATGCCTCCACAACAATGAATCCAATTCCTATCCTGCTGATTCAGCTCTTTCCTGATCAACATACACACTTTGATTCTGCCACTTCCTGGTTTCATTAGAACATTTCCTTATCCCTTCCACAACCTGTACTTTTGTTTGCCTCTCAGTCCATTCTATTTTCATCCTTTCTACTGTTCAACTACCCAATCTTTCACTCATTTAAAAAAAAATCTCCTTAAGGACAGAAGTAGATGCTCTGGAAATTTTATTTTGTTCTCTATTAATAATCTTTTTTAAAGTTATGCTTTCCATCTGTATCTGAAGTTGTGCTTTTCTTGATTTATGTGTTAGAATCCTTTTGTTGGACCCATGCTGGTTCTATTATGACTATACATTGCTAAACAGGCTATGTGAGTTTGCTACCACTCACTGCCCCTCACTCTCCACAGAAATGCTGTTAGAAACTTGCCCTGACCTGGGTGAAGCCACTTATATCCGTGGTTGATCAACCTTGCAGTGTAGTTGTCATGGGAGGGGAATTTGTTTCTTTCTCATTCTTTCTCCTACTGCACTGGGGGTCATCTTGCTCATCTGCTTTTCTGGGTGTTCTGCCTCCATACACCTTCATGATGTCTTTGTGCCCTGCCACCCCTCTACACCAATGCTTGCCACATGTCAAAGGGCCCATGATACCTTGTCAACTTTCTGCCAAACAGTAACCTCCATGTTTCCCATAGTCAGCTACAGTGACTAATGAGTAAGACCTGCGTCATTCTCAGATACGTTGCCCCTGACTGATTAGAGCCTCTTTGTCCAGAACTCCTGGGAGGCTACACACCACATTTGACCTGTGTGGCCAATGATGATGAAGGATACAAAAAGATGCTGTCCTCTGTAACTCCAAGGGGGGACAAATTTGCTAAGTCTGTCAACCTCTTTCTACCCCATGTGTTAGATCAAGGCTGGTTTTGGCCTGACAGCACACCCACTACACACTGTTTCCCCTTTCTTATACTGCCTCCTTCACTGTCTTCTCCTGAGAGGACTCATCAACAAATCACATGCAATGGATCCCATGTAGGGAAGAAGAAATGGGGAGATGGACATGAGGTCCCTCCCATCCCCTGAACAGTTACAGAACTAAGGATATGATCATTTGCTGATATTAATATTTATAAAATACATGAATCACAATATTATCTAAAAGAAAATTTAAAACTAGAAATTATCTAATAAGAAGAACTTGCAGGCAATACATAATATCCATATGGAAGATTATTATGCAGTTTCTAAGCTAATAAAGAAATAATATGACTATGTAAAAAGAGAAATTTGAAGGTGATTTATGGCATATCCATTTGGCAGAAGATTATGTAGTTATCAAGACAAGAAGAAAATCATGATGAAGGGAAGCAAAGCAAGATGCAGGAAGTTACTTAGTTTATAAAATAACATGCCAAGTCCTATAGATTGATAGAGGCCAGCTCTGAACTTTCAAACAGCTGATAGAGAGAATGAAGCCTAGTCAGTCACAGACTATGTCCAGAGGTAAAAAACAAAAGAAAGTCAAAATGCCCAGGTAAAGGATAGCTATTTCTAACCCTAGGGCCATAGAGAAATGTCTGCCATAGGTCCTGTGTAAGAAGAGTCTGTATACCTAACAACCAGTTACCACAGAGCTGAGTTTCCGGGTCTGGTCCCTGAGTAAACCCCTCTCCCCACAACTACAGTCTTTGATTGTTTCTGTGGCCTGCAACCCAGAGACTTCTGAGAGATGTTAAGAAGAGAGTTTGAAATGACTTCTTGGAAAGTTGTTGGAGCACCATCATTCTGGGTTGCTCTGTGTGCTTCCGTTGCCCCTTAGGCTCAGTAAGATTGGCACAGTCTTGTCAAAACAGTTGAACCTGGCAGTGTGACTGCATAAATAGAAGGCTGGCTGCCTGCTCAAATGTGCACCCAAGGGCACAAACATGCTCACTGAGGGGCAGGGTGAAAGTGATTTTGGTTCCATTTATCACAGAGCCCAAGGCACCATAGCTCAATGGTGTAAACACTATGAAGAGCTGTGAAGAGCTGCAAAAATTCCTATCTCAGCAGCCTGATCAGAGTGCTCGGGTAGAATGGGGTTTGTGTAAGTCCACTTGCTGCTCTGGGTGCCTGCTGAGGAGCCTGCTCCTCTGCCTTCCCAAAAGTTGAGGGGTGTCATAGAGAGAGATAACATCAACTTTTTCTTGAGTCACACTATCTATACTTGACTCATTCTAATAAATCCATCTACTTTAAAATACTTTACTCAATTCATGGAAACAATTTGATTTCCTCAGTTCACTTAAAGACAGCAGGAATAAATGTGTTAAAATATAGGTTGATATAACTGACTAATAGAAAACATAAAGTACATTACTAATAACAGAATGATAAGCAGTGATCTGTCTGTCCTTATTTTTCACAACAACTAAAACTAGAATCTTCTAGAACACAAATGTGCTGGACACAGTGACTGTACCAACTTGGAAAAGAGGCTGGGCATAAACACATAGCAGGAGGGTCCACAAGAGAAAAAGGATGAGAGACAATGCAAAATATCTACATGAATCCATGGTCTTTACGGTGGCCTCTTTGGCTGTACTAACATGTGCTAAGTCCAGGATGAAAAAAAATTCAAAAAAATCCCCAATATTCTTTATAAAATCTTTGTAGAATCATTGCGTAGTCAAAGCTATAAAGAAAGTCAGCAAGTGAACAGATGCTCTCTTTCAGGGATGTCTTCCTTACCTTCTGCCACATGTTGATGAAGAAGAGCTCCCGGGACACATTGAAGGATACATTGGCATCATACGCATCGTCCCCAAGGTTGGAAATGGAGATGTTTAGGGAGATATTCTTCACAGCTCCCAAAGCTAGATAGGGGGTTTTCTCATCAATACTGAAATGAAAAATAAACAGCAATTAATACTCTGAGGCTTATATTAACATAACAGGAAGCATCAGGGTTGTTGAGGGTGGGCACAGAAACTGGGAGCAGAACTAAAGCCCCAGGAACTCCATTAACCAGGCAGGTGTCCTGCGGCTATCAGCACCATGAGCCTCTGTGTCCCCATCTAAAACACATGGCTCTGCCTTGCCTAACACTAGACCCTTATGTGGCTCAAAGGAAACCCTCTACCTCAAACTTGCAAAATTATAACATTTAATAACTTATCCATGGAATTAATTAGTTCATTTCATTATTTTTGAGCATCTACTACATTCTGTTCACTATATGTTGGGGAAAAAACAGTGAACAAAACAGAGGTCTTGTAGCACAAGCAGAAAGAAGACACCATCAGAAAAATATTTTATAAATATATTAGAGAAAATATAAGAATGCAAAGTGCCACATTTGAAAGGGAAGTGAGTTGTGATTTTAAATACAGTGATCATGAAAGCCTCACTGATGAGGTGACCCCCCCACTAAGCACGTAGAAAAGAACAGAAGAAAGATATGCAAGATCTGGTGCCCAACGAAGAAGAGGTAGGTGTGTACCTGATGTGTTCAAGGAACAGCAAGGAGGCTATGTGACTGAAGAGGAGTGAGGAAGAGGAGATGAGCTTAGACAGGTGAAGGGGTGGAGCTGGCAGATCTCACAAGGCCTTGTGGGTCATCACTTGTATTCCACTGTGAGCCAGACAGGAGCCCTTTCAGGGCCCAGAGCCAAGAAGCAGTGTGACCTGGCATGCACATTGAGAGAGACTCACCCTGGCTGTGATGGGAAGTCTGTGGAACAGAGAAGGGACAAGCCTGGTGAGGAAAACTCTTGCAATAATCTAGGTGTGAGACAGCTCAGAGAAGGGCAGGGGCAGCTGAGGCAGTGAGAGGAGGTCATACTCTGGATATATTTTGAAGGTTGAGCCAACAGTTTTTTCTCATGGATTACAGGAAGAGTTTAGGAAAAGAATAGCCAAAGATAGCTTCAGGGGTTTTGGATTTAACAACTGGAAGACTTGTCATTCAGTGAGATGGGAAAGACTGTGGGTAGAGAAGGTTTACTAGAGGAAATCCAAATGCCTATTGGATTTTAAAGGAGATACTGAGGCAGTTGGAGGCAGGAGTCTGGAGTTGAAGAAGGTGTCAGGGTGGGAGATCTACATTTGGAACTGACTAGACAGGATGCTAGGAATGAGTGTAGATAGAGAAGTGGTCTCACATTTAGGAACCTCAGGTAAGGACAAGGCAGTAAAAGGGACCAAGGAAGAGAGGCTGAGAAGACAGGAAGAAAACCAAGGGAGATAGTATCTCAGTGAGCATAAGAAATAAACTCTCAGGAAGAAGTGGCCAGCTTTGTTAAACATAGTAGATAGGTCAAAATAACCTGAAGAATTAGAACTGGCCATTGGAATTAGCTATCTGGAGGTCAACGGTGACCTTGATAGGAAGAGTATAGGGGTGAAAGCTTTCATGGGGTGAAAGCTTGATTGGAATAGGTTTAAGAGACATAGGAGGTTTCAGCACCCCTGAAGACTTCAAGAAAATACATCAATGTCGTTAGTAGTTCACTCTTAGACCCAGTGTCAGAGGTCAGATGGGTCTGGACTATCTCAATCCAAAAGATTAATGTTCCTATCAAGAACATGAAAGTTGACTTCATTTTGTAGAGAGGAAATCAATACCATACCATATTAAAATCTAACAACTGCTTGACCCAATTAATACACTCAAATGGGGAAGCTCAGCCAGTCCCAGCACCCGGAAGGAAGCTCCCCACCTCCATCCCAGGCTCCTAGGGCAGTGAAGCTCAGCCAGTCCCAGAACCCTGAAGGAAGATCCCCGCCTCCATCCCAGGCTCCTAGGGCAGAGAAGCTCAGCTGGTCCCAGAACCCAGAAGGAAGCTCCCCCACTGCCATCCCAAGCTCCTAGGGCAGAGAAGGTGAGCC